CACTGAGAAAATTGTTGAAGATTTGTTGGAAGGGAATTTCCTGGGTATGATGAAAGATGATAATATATCCATTCAAGTCCAACAAATCCCAAACAGGATAGACCCCAAAAGAAAATCACCAAGCCATATCGTGGTGGTTAAGTTTCTGTGTCAACTTGGTTGGGCCTGGTTGAGTGGCTGGGAAGCTGGTTGTAGTATTCTCCATGATAGACTGATAATCAGCTCCATGGTGGAATCTACTGTGAGCAGCCGAGTAGCTGCCCTAGGGATATGGTCGTATCTAAGCAGTAGCTTTGGGAATGGTCTCTAGCTTATGGCATGCTTGAACCCGACATGTGGCTGTGTCATTATTCAGCAGCCTGCCATGCTCTTCTGACCTTGGAACTTTCAGTGGACTTGAATTAATGGCCTGCTGTGTGGTTTGGTAACATCGTAACTATGCCTTTTTACTTGTCAACCTTGGGATTGTCAGTCTCAGCAACCAGCAGCTGTCTGAGCTTCCCATGTTTGTGGCAAATTACTGAGGGACTTGGATGGTTAAGAGGTACCCTTGCCTTATTCCCATTTTCTTACTTTCTTAGCCCCCTTTCCTTTTAAAATTTTTAGCTGTCTCGTGTCCCAGTAGGAAATGCGTTCTCCTTCCCCATCCTTTGCCCTGCCAGGAAGTCAGTGTGCTGATATGTCTTTTTGGGTTTCCCTTCTGAAGGACCCCTTGCTGCACTGGAAGCTTCTATACTAGCCCTTTCATTACTGCTGTGTTTAGATAATTGGACAGATCATTGTGCCATGCAGGAATTTTTTTTAAAGAAAAACCTATAAATGAAAAATTAATAATGAAACTGTGTGAATGTACGTGCACGCAACATAAAAATACAGTGGCACCCAAGGAGTTTCAATCTCGGTTCCTGTAAAGCTGCAAAAACAAAACAGTGGCAAAAAAAAAAAAAGTGAGTGAAGAAAAGCCTCTAGCTCCAGTGGGCCAGGAGCAGGAAGCAGAGCTGAACTCAAGGTTGAGGGGGTTTCACCCAGCCCGCAGAGCCTGACACTTTGAACTCGGACTTAAAGCCTCCAAACTGTAAGAGAATAAACTCCTGTTTGTTAGGGCCATCCCATTTTTTGTATTTTCTGTTAGAGTGGCACAGATGTAATCAGAACACATATCATCATCAAACTCACCAAAACCAAAGACAAAAAAAGTACCCTGAA